GACGACGACGACGATGATGGTGCTGATGATGATGATGATGACGATGGTGATGCTGATGATGATGATGATGACAATGATGATAATGATGATGATGATGATGCTGATGCTGATGCTGATGCTGATGCTGATGCTGATGCTGATGATGCCGATGATGATGATGATGATGATGATGATGATGATGATGATGATGATGATGATGCTGATGATGGTGATGATGATGATGATGATGCTGATGCTGATGATGATGATGATGATGATGATGATGATGATGATGATGATGATTATGATGATGCTGATGCTGATGCTGATGCTGATGATGATGCTGATGATGATGATGAGAATAAGATGATTAGATGATATATGCTTAAGGATGCAATGATGATGATATGAAGATGATGCAGAGATGATGATGATGATGAAAAATGATGATGATGATGAGATGATGATGATGCTGATGATGATGATGAAGATAGAAGATGAGAGATGAGATGAGGAGGAGGAGGAGGAGGAGGAGGAGGAGGAGGAGGAGGAGGAGGAGGAGGAGGAGGAGGAGGAGGAGGTGATGATGATGATGATGATGATGATGATGATGATGATGATGATGATGATGATGATGATGATGATGATGATGATGATGATGATGATGATGGTGCGGATGACGAGGAGGAGGAGGATGACGCGCAGGAGCAGGAACAGGAGGAGGGGGAGGAGGATGAGAAGGCGGAGCACAGGAGGAGGAGGATGAGGAATGATTGAGGAGGGGAGGAGGATGATGAGGAGGAGAGGAGGAATAGGATAGGGAGGGAGGAGGAGAAGAAGGAAAGAGGAGGCAGAGGAGAGGAGAAGTAAAGGGAGAGGAGGAGAGGAGGAGGGCGGGGAGGAGCAAGAGACAGGAGGAGGGAGGCGGGGGCGGAGGAGGAAATGAGGAGCGAAGGAGGAGGAGCAGGAGGAGGAAGAGGGAGGGGGGGGCGGAAGGAGGAGGAGGAGGTGGAGGAGGCGGAGGAGGAGAGAGGAGGACGAGTAGGATGAGGGGGGGGATGAGGATGAGGATGCGGAGGAGGAGGAGGAGGAGGCGCAAAAGGAGGAGGAGGAGGAGGAGGAGGAGGCGGAGGAGGAGGAGGTGGCGGACGCGGAGGAGGAGGAGGCGGAGGAGGAGGAGGAGGAGACGCAGGAGGGGGAGGGATGAGGATGATGAGGACGAGGATGAGGGGGAGGATGAGGAGGGAACGGGTGAGGTGGACGCGGAGGAGGAGGGGGAGGAGGAGGAGGAGGAGGAGGAGACGGAGCAGGAGCGGGAGGAGGAGGAGGATGGAGATGCGGAGGAGGAGGAGGAGGAGACGGAGGTGGATGCTGGTGAGGGATATGGGGGGAGGCGGGGAGGAAGATGAAGAGGAGGATGAGGAAGAGCACGCAGACGAACAGTCCGAACTATCATACGTATTACAGTGTGAAATATGTCGCGGCGAATACTGCCACGCATTCGAATCTAAATAGTGCGACTATTACGAAGAACAGCACCACTACTGCTAACATGAATAAGGTGACGGCACCACCTGGCACTACTATGCTTACTACCACTATCACGAGACACTGTAATGATGACCGTACTGCTATTACCACTAAGCATCATACTACTAGCAGCCAGTGTTTCTTCTACATCGATTTGACGACCCAAATCAAGGACTCAGAGGAATCACGCATGTTTGGACTCCGCAACTCAGCAAGCACGCAGCAGCGCACGCAAGCAAGCACGCAAACCAGCACGCACGCAAGCACGCAAGCGTGCAAGCGCGCAAACAAGCAGCATGCAAGCAGGCCCTCAACCATGCATAGGCGTAGGCATCGGAGTTAGGGGGAGGCATCAGCATAGACATAGGCATAGCCATATGCATTTGGGGGGGCATAGGAATTAGGGGGGGGGGGCGGACCAATTAGTAGGGTTTGAACTGGGGCTCCAATATGACAAGGCTATTTGGGTAACAATACGAAGATTACGCGGAGAAGGAGGGGGAATCTGAGGAGGAGGAGCAGGACCAGGAGCAGGAGCAGGAGCAGGAGCAGGCCGAGGAGGAGGAGGAAAGCAGGAGCAGGAGCAGGATGGGGAGGAGGAAGAGGAGGAGGAGACGGAGGGGGAGGAGCAGGAGGAGGATATTGAGGAGGAGGAGGAGGAGGAGGAGGAGGGAGGGGACGCGGGGAGGAGGAGGATGAGTAAGAGAAGGAGTAGCAAAAGAAGCAGTAGCAGTAGTCGTAGACGTAGTCGTAGTAGTAGTCGTAGTAGTAGTCGTAGTAGTAGTAGTAGTAGTAGTAGTAGTAGTAGTAGTAGTAGTAGTAGTAGTAGTAGTAGTAGTAGTAGTCGTAGTAGTAGTAGTAGTAGTAGTAGTAGTAGTAGTAGTAGTAGTAGTAAGTGTAGTAGTAGTAGTAGTAGTAGTAGTAGTAGTAGTTGTTGTAGTAGTCGTAGTAGTAGTAGTAGTAGTAGTAGTAGTAGTAGTAGTAGTAGTAATAGTGTGATTAGTGTAGTAGTGTGATTAGTGTTAGTAGTAGTAGTAGTAGTATAGTAGTAAGTCGTAGTCGTAGTCGTAGTAGAAGAAATCGTAAGTAGTATAGTAGTAGTAGTAAAGTAATGAGTACAGGAGTTGAGTAGTAGTAAGCACACACCTGCTGATAGCAAACCACCCTAACTCTGGAGCGGTGCTAGAAAAGAGCTCTAAGACGCGCTGGGCATCAGGCTAACGAGCGGGAAACAGAGCGTTCAAAATGAGGGACGATGAATGCCCTCGCTTTGTGGAAAAGGCTAGAAGGGAGCCGCTACGAAACATGCGAGATGCCCAGTGCGGCCGAAACGGCTGGCACTGGACACAGGCAGCACAGGCGCTGCCAGGCCCGCATGGCGTTGCCCTCAAACAGGAAGCTGGACCGTGCCAGCGCGTTGGGCCCGCGCGCATGGCGGGAGCGTGGGGAGCGGGTTGGGGCGGGGAGCCATTTGAGGTGCTGGCGGAGGCCGGGGCCTCCAGAGCGACCACCGACGCGCCCTCCACCCGGGGCCACAGGGGCGAGTGGAGAGACCCGCAGCGGCCGGGGCGAACGAAACCACTGCGAGCTGCGCCGGCGGCCACTCCAGAGAGCTCAGCCCGCCGCGCAGCGGCCTCCAGGCCGCCCGGACACCCCCAGAGCCCGGCGTGGCGCTAACATATGCCTGGGGGGCAGCTGAATTAGAAACTGTTCAAGCAAGTGGAGCAGAGCGGGAGCGCCTGCTCATCCCCTCATCTTGGGGTCACCGCTTTCGACCACTAGGTTTGCCTCGCCCGGGAAAAGGGCGACCCGACGCGCCCGAGCTCACGCCATGAAGGGGAGCAGGAGGGTGTGGTCTTCCGCGTCGTAGT